ACCCGGATGCTAGTGTAGACTATGATATACCCACGTTGCCTTGTGATACGTTAAAAATCGAAGACGTATGTGGTTAGAGTAGTGAGCTGTTCCCCATTACTGTAAATCGTGAATAGCGGAACAAACAAAACGAGATTTCAGTACACCCAACAAAGTTCTCCGACACTTCATAAATCTCCCCGGATATTGAACACATTTGAAGCAGCAGATTCCAGGGACATGTAGTCTGGTCTCGGTTATCTGAGTTGTTACAATGTCCTGTTTTTGACGAAAAACAATCACAAAATACATAATCATAAACCAAACTAAAAATCACGAAACCTGAAGCAAAATATGAACAAACAAAATAAACATTTACAAGGAAAATAAGACCAGGTGTTCGGAAGGGTAGGCGTCTTCATCATCGACGACACATGAAATGTAAATCTTGGGCAATCCAAGTAAGTAATGTCACGTTTTGAAATGAGAACAAAGTATACAACAACGGACTAATAGTCAAACTAACGAGCATCAATTACGTCCAGCTTCCTATTGCACAAAGAAATAGACTATTTCTCACTGAGATCATTATGGCGATCGTTAAACTCCGACTTTCAGTCCAAAATCAGATGCTGCAGATTCAGTATAAATCCATGTTTTTAATCTCTTTCCACTCAAACAGAGATAGATTTACAAAGACACAAAATATTAGTACCTTTTAATACGAATTTAGAATTCAATATAGTAATGCCAAATAATGCATTAAACTGCATCATACAGCTGTTTCGCATTTCTAGGACATCATACAGCTGTTTCGCATTTCTAGGACATCATACAGCTATTTCGTATTTCTGGGTCTCGCCAGTGATATCAGGGGCTCCAAAGTGACCGAAAAATATCAAAATTTAGATTGGGTTGTGAACTATCCTCTATAATTCAATAAATTTCGTATGTCCGATAACTACGGAAAGTTAATGTGTATACTCTGAACCAGGCCACTATTCGAATGAATTGAAATGTGGCATGGAAGTTACGGCCAAGTCATGCATAGAAATATCTGCGTTCCTTACCATTTGCCGTGCAATTTTTCTGAGTAGTGCATCTGCTGGGTAGGTATAACCGGTCTGTAAATGTGTATCTTGGCACATAGCAGGCATGAAAACCGGTTAACACCGGGAATTGTTTAAACTAGAATCAAGAAAACGCATTTAAATGCTATAGTTAATATATCAGTTACATTGTGAAACATATTGCAGGGTTTAAGGTTCGTCCTTTCACAGCAACTGATATCTTGTATGAAACAGAAATTTATGCCAATCCTGATGATTATATAAATTTATATATAACAATATTAATATCAATAATATATAATATAACCTGTTTAAGTTACTTTACTATTTCCTGTAATACACCGTGTCTTTTGTAATAAACATCCTGTGTTTTCCATTATATCATGTCTCTGTCGGATAGAAGTAGGGACGGTTGCGTGATTACAACAAGTCCACACTTTCGCCGGTTTTTCGTGTGATTTTACTGATGAAATTTACATCATTTAGACAGTTTTAATGGAAATGTCTACAAAAGTGTTGGAAGTATGAGTTTGTGATATGTATGAAATTGACATATAATCGAACAAGCACTGGCTTGTTTGTTCCAGGTATATTTTTCATGGCTACTTTATTTACATTGATATAACCATCTTGGCTTTCCGTCAGATCACTTTTGGAAAGAATGCTCAGTTTTGTTTAAATATTGTTTATTGGTCCCGAATACAAAATGGTAGTTTTTTTCATATTTACATATTACTTGTATCTTTTATCATTGTGTGAACTTTCATATCTATATAATCTGAAGAATATAATTTGTATATATATATATAATTTGTATAGGTATATATATATATATATATATAAGTTCTATCATGCAAGTTTGAAAAGAAATGTATTTTGAAGACACGGGGTTTTTTTTATTCTGTATTCAGAGAAAGGAATAATTATCACTTAATGGTGGTTCTGGTGTTATAATAATTTATCAAGAGATTCGCTATTTGTGCCGATACTATTGTACATTGTGCTACATTGGTACCAGAATGTTAAATAATCATGGGATATTTCTTATGTAATGGAAGTTTGGTTCACGGGCCAAGCGAACACATTAAAACGTGAACACACCGATATGAAAGGTGAAATCGGATTACTTATATACAGCTGTTTTTGTCAGAACAGCATTTCTCTTCGTTGGCTTCTTTTACCGGTACTGCGTAATTAAACACATAAAAAATATGTTATGATAAAAAAATATCGTAACACATTTTAACGCATACAATGATGTACGTTTTGTCCGCGTTTATATATATATTGCTTTTCAACAAAGAAATTTGAATAGTTTTCCTAATTTTATGTTTATATATACCCTTGTAATGTTCAGTGAAAGTCGTGATAAACGGATTACTGAAGGTTGTTTCCACCTTTATATATGGTGTGTGTAATTAGCTATATGGTTCCCTTTCGTGTTGTCGAGTACATGTAATTATAATTGATCAGACCAATCACCTCTCTTGTGTCTCTAGACGTACAGTAATGGCCGAAATGGGTCATGAGAACATGTTACTCGGTGACTAAATATACTTACACTGGATGTCGGACACTCCGTTGATTAACACCCATGACAAAGTGATAAATACAACTGTAATGATATTGTATGAACTATGTTACTGCTTCGTTCCACTGTGAATAATATATGTAAACAAGTTATTTTTTCTTAACGTGATTCTAAGTTATGTATTATATACCCATTTTTCAAATACAATGAATGTAAAGTTGAGATAAACGAGCATGTTGAAAGTAGTCGTTTGTTTAGTTAGAATGAATAAGTGTAAACGTGTCTAGAACATTCAACTTATAGGTATGTTGATAGTTGTCGACGATGTCTGTCAGACCTGTAATCTTGCTTAATACTAGTTAAAATTAATTGGACACGAGCATCAAACACGTTATTATGAATGTAAAAACGGAAAATAAATGAAAAGTAAATATTTGAATAAATCAAAATATAAAGAAATCTTTAAAAAATGTAAGAAAAAAGAAAAAATGAAAAGAGAAAGGACAGAAGGAAAATGAAATAAAGAAAACGTACAGCTTCATATGTTACACGGAATAAATATTACCTATTGAGATCAGTATGATGACCTTAACATTTCTACATTATCTATCTGCCGTACATCTCTCGAAACCCCGTTTTGTGAGTTTAACTGTCAGCTATCGACATCAAACACGAATATTGTGATATATGGAACAACCTCTTGAATATCGGATCAGAAGCAAATTCACAAGAGCTAAATCGAAATAAACATTTTTACAGATTCGTGGAAAGCTTTCGGTTGGTTTTGTTGACGTAATAGGGTAGGCTCTAGGATAAGCTCAGCTTCGTATAAAAACAGAACCAATTAAGCCAATTACAAGAGAGAACAGTTTGTTCCCATAGGTATTTATATAGTCTTTTGGATGATCTTGCCAAAATACTTAAAGATATTGTCATCAAGTGCTTCAGTTAATGTCACGATTTTGTCCTCCGTGTAGTTAGCTCACAGCCACTTTATGCATTTGTTTCACCGTTCACCACTCTATAATTGTTCATTGTTTGCACGCAAAATGCAGCTTCCTGATTTGTCCTTTTCATATTTCTCGATAAAAAATCTAGCTCTGACCACTTGATAATGAGCGGAGGGGTCAATGACAATACGCCATCTTGCAGCCTATTGGAATTCCTTTTTATATGAATGGAATATCTGTTTACACATTCCTCTGCTTTGTGTGAATCACTGTCATTCATAAAATATCCAATTATCTTACAATATACACAAGTAATAAACAACGAATAGATAACGGATTTCTCTTATAGTTTTACACATTTTGAACTTCGGGTTGAAAGCAATATTACACGACCAGATCTAAACGTCATCTGCTCGTAAATTTTGTGACCGACTTACGATCACAGGGTGGATTTCAATCTTGGTGGTGGCTTTAACTTTGATGCCGAAAATTATTTTCTGAATGGTGAATTAGATGATAATCTAGCAAACATCAGCGACGCCTTATCTGTTGCATCCGTTTGAAATTTGAGGCGCCCTCTCATGAATGCATTTTAAATTACTAAAAATGGCGGGAATAGCTGTCAATGACGTCCCATCGTGTCACGCAAGCTGTTATACGCAGTGTTTTGTTTCAAAATATCTGTCATTGAATTATCAAATTTTTACATTTATGTATTATTTTTGTTTTTGAAACGTATCCAAGAAACATATTATAAGCTACGCGCATTCATTCAGTTTGCAAAAATGTTTTTCTTTCATACCACCATGAAACTGAAAAAAAATGATTGACTATCAAAGTTTAATTGAACAGAAAGCCCTCATAACTTCAGTATGATATAGGGAATGATAGCGTAGAAAAATCAAATGTTCTTACAAAAGATTATTTTATGAGAGAGTGTTCAAAATTGGCCAAAGACTTAAAAATCCAATTGCCATTAAATCGAAATTACAGGTAAACAGTATCACAATGACTCACAATGATTTTATAACAAAAAGAATGGAAAACGCTTCTATAAAGGTTTGGTTGAGCGAAGTGTTATGGCAATGATAATTTATACGTGTATGCGAATCGATTTTTTATATCTTTTTTTTCTTTCCGTGACAATTAACATTGTATGTACTAGTTCATCTCGTGGATTCTGTGAAAGAACGTTTCACGGGATATAAAGATTAAGTTACTTTGAACCTTTCAACGTTGCCAGTATTTCCATTGTTACGTTTGCGTCAATACGTGTAATACTAGAGGAGACCAGGATTATTTCTTGATCTAGCACAAGAGCAAAATATTGCAGATATTAGTGACGAGCTATTACTATGAAAGATGCAGATGTTGAGCCGTCGTTTGGCAGTTATTGGTGCTTAGCCCTCAGTACGGAAAACATAGATGTTTAGCTGTCAATATGACAAAGATCAACGCTGATGACACAATATGGAAGAGATCTATGCTGGTATTCCTTATGGTAGAGATCTTATGTTAAACCGTCAATATAGCAGTGATACGTGCAGATTCATCAATGTGATATTTATCGGCGCTTGATGGTCCTTGTAGCACTTTTTGGTGCAGAGCCCTCAATATGACAATACTACCGGTGCAAGGCCTTTTACGTGTCATTTACCGGTGTTGATTCAAGTTATGGTAGGTGTTAACGGCATAGATTCTTCAATATCGCAGATATTGTGATGAGTTCTATTATGGCATAGAGATGTTAAAGATAACGGAGACGAACCCTTGCGAACCAGTAATAGGAATCGGTGCTTTGCTATAGCTGATATTGGTATTATACCCTTGGCAGCAGTATTGAGCTCTTGATATTCTGCCGAACCCTCATTACATAACTTGGATATGATGTAGAAAATGGTTTTTATGATTGATATTGTAAATTGGCAGTTAGTATTGTAGTACTTTCACACACGTCCACCGCGATAGACATCTCCACACCTACGTAATGATGACACGCAAGGTAAACGGGCACCACATCCTTCGACAGTGAAATAGTGTATTTATTTCACTAGTTGTGGTTTAGTAATGATACATTGTAACTATGCGTAATAATATCATGAAACATTGAGACATGAGTTCGACGTCAAACTCGCATTGACGTAAAAGGTCATTGCAATTTATGAAACCGTTGAATAAAAGTCGACCTTTTACTTAGAAACAAAAATGAAGAAAACAAACCCAAATGTTCCTAAGCTTTTTGCTAGCAAAAAATATAACTTTTTCATAACTTAAAATACATTTTAAAAGATTTGTTTAACTGAAATGATCTACATGATGTTGTTAGAAAAACTCCCTGTATACCACTTAGATATAAATTGTAGGCGTATAATTAGGCTCAAGTCCTTTCCTACATGTAGTTTACAATTAATCCAACGTTAAATGACAAGCACTCATAAAACGATACACAAACCTGAACGAGAAAATTGTATGTGAATAGCAGAAGTGATGGTTGTCACGCTATCAGTACAGGTTTTCGGTCTAATTGTTTGGTTAGACAAGTAAATAGAGTTCTGTTAAATGACCTTCTTAATATTTGTTAAGAACCATTTGTACATATGTATGGTATTATATATACACGGTTTATAAATAGTCTTTACCTCTTCGGTTTGACCTGTAGATATCTAGCTGAGCATTTAATACCAGATCATAACAGTATTTAGTAAATCTTTGGTATCCAAAAGCAATACATGATTATTGCATGTATATGATATAAAAGAATAACGGGTTTGGGACGTGCTCAGTGGAGCATTACATTTTATATACACTGTGACGTGTCCGCCGCTAGGGCTCGGGGTTCGACAAGCCTTCTATTAAACGTCCCAATATCAGCTTATTGTGAAACACACAACTTTATATACTAAACACCGGACAAAACCTTGCGGCTTTGACACAATAGGAACAATTCGTGTGCCAGTGTTGGGTCGGTCACGATAAGCCAATCTCGCTTCAACTGACAGTTAAATACGGAGTTTCTTTGCTGGATTTGTTGTGTTATCGTTGTTGTGTAGTGTTTTTTTCTCAACAAAACTTAAACGGAAAAGGAACTCCAAAGTTTTAAATGTTTATTTGGATTGCTGTAGGGTGAGAACCAATGTTGGACTACTCGTGACGTCACATTCCAATTAACGATCCTAAGAAGAAAGCACACGGGATTAAGTCAATATTGCTTGTAGGTATCGAGTGGAAACCGACTTAGTGCTTTTCAGCCCCAGGTTTTGGTGTATTGTGAAAGGTGGGGAATATTGTTCGATGGATATTCCCAGACATTTCTGTATTTTTATTGAGAGTTTATTTTGTTTTCGATTTGGAATTTTTCGTTTCTGGATGTGTCTATGGAACGTGGTTGTCCAGGGGAAATTGGTTTGTTGAGAAAATCAATCGTGATATGATCGTAGGTTGTTATTGATCAAGAAGTAACAGGACATGATTGTAATATTTTCAAGACGGTTGTATGACTGTCTAATGATTATGTACCAAAATTGTATTCACATGGTATCGTCACATTTTACAATTTACATTAGTAATGTAGTTCACATCTTTTATATATTTATGGACGTTTTCAACCTTGTAAGAATATCTTGAAGAGTTCCGATTCATATGTGATAAATTGGGAATATATTCTTCCTTGCGAACGACCCTTCTCCTTAGTTTTCTTGTGTGATTTTTAATTAATATGTCTAACAGCAAAACTGTGTCTGATCTAATCTTAAATCATTTTGGATAGAAACGTATCTATATAATGTTTAATTTACAGAAAATATCTTTTTTACTTTCTCGCAATACTTTACGATAGAAGAAATCACACGAAATAGAGAATATTCTAGATTTTTAATAAGAGTAAGGATTCTAAGATGTGACAGCTTCCAGGTTGTATAACCTTTATATACACCTCAATCTGAGGTCCAGGTCGGTACAGTAGTGGCAAGGTTTTGGCGGAGACACAATTTGTCGTCATATTTGATTCATGATTCAAGTTTTTATTTTTAATTTGAAAGATTATATTTGTGTTTGATCATTTATTGATAGATTCATGGATGACACAATATTCATAAACACAAAATATTGATTATCGTTGGAATCCACATTATAATCAAATGGATTCCCGGCTTTTCATTTCGCAGAATATATCCAATGTTTAGTAAACAATATCACTGGCATTGATCTTGTCTGATGATCTTTTTTTTCGTTGCAGAAATTCCATTGGTGTCTAAGGAACACACGATGACTTGAGTATGAGGTGGAATCGCACCTCGCGTTTTTCTCTACCCAGCTTAAATGCTTGTGTGTGTTTCAACGAACTCCATACGGATTATATTGGGCGACATCCGAGAGTTGTGTGTTCACTTAAAGTTGGATAAATGACTGAAATGAAGGGAAATGATGATAAGAATCATCTTAGTCCCTACGAGAATGGCGCGGCTCCAGCAGTGGCAGCCGATGCAAACGATGCCAAAAGTGTGTTATCTTGTTCACGACCGTCGTCTGCAGTCAGCGACGTGTCCTCAAGGATTAAGTTCCGTTTGTTCACGGACGATTCTTGGGCTAAGCAACTCCAGAAGGAGGAGGATAAGCGAAAGAAGGAGGAGAAAACTGGTGGTATTGCGGAAGCTCATCTCGTTGACGGAGAGCTCAGGTTCGAAGACGATGAGGAAGAAGCTAAGAAAGAATGTGATCCGAAACTAAAGGAAGGTGATCTCCTTCCCCCAGACCTTGGTGACATATTCCGAACAGACTACTACGGTAAACCGCTTGAGGAGATCGATCGGTTTATCAAAGACAAGGTAAAATTTGTCAAATCCATTCCTGAGTGTGTTTTCTATCAATCATTCCTTGGTTTGGATATACACATTTCAGTACAAAAGTGTTTGGGAATTTAAAGAAAAGGTAAGTATTTTATCCTTTAGCAAAGAAACCATGAGGATTCCAGGTAAGTGCATTGTACAACAGCATTTAAAAAAAATTTAAAATAAATTCTGAATAATATTTTTTTGAATTTCAATTAAAGTAATAAAATTTGGCAAAGTCCTGTTAAGTTAAAGAAAAATGGTACAAATTGTTTGTACAGACTACTTACCATAAAGTAAATAGAAGTCATTTTTAAACACTAATTTCTAGACAACTTACTGGTAGGATTCATATAAGTATTGTATTAGGTGTATGAGGTACTGACAAAGCCTATGATTATCTCCCTTGCAAAATAAGAGTCCTGTATACAAACAAGTTACAGGTTCAAACATAATTAGATTTTCTTTGATTTTAAACACATATTTATCATTTCTTTATTAACACCCATTTTTGGAAAATGCGATATTATTGTAGTAGTCACTTTGATATACAACATTGATAAACCACAAATATTTTACGCTAAATCATAAAGTTGCATGTTGACTCCTTATTATCTGGTTTTAGAGCTCCTTCTGTAAAAAGATTTTTAAAAATTCTGTGTCCACAAATATCAGATATTCAATAATACCCATAGACACATTCATGGAATCTTAAATGATTGATGAGTTTTTATTTGTTTTCCAATCAGTAATCTTCATAGGTGTGTAACTTAAATGAAGTACATCACTTTATACATAGAGTAGGCACTTTAGATTCTACTCTTCATTGTGGTTTGAAAGTATGACAGTGTTTGATTTACATGCTGTTATTAAATATATACCTGGGCTTGTGGTAAGGTTAGAACCTGATATGGTAGATGGTTCATGATAAGGGTGATGTATGACCCTGATATACCCTCTCATTATCAACAATAAACAAGGTCTTTGTTTGAATTGTGTTTGATAAAGAAAAGATTGTAAGTGTTACTTATAGTTTTGGTGAGGGAATATAGAATTCACACATTCTCAGGTGACCTGAGATAGATTAATTTTCAAAAACAATGTAAATAGCTATCACTTGATGCTCACAAGTCTTTACATGTGTGTAAAATGATTTGATGTCATCTGTAGATTTTCATTTACCACTGTTACATTGTGTTGTCTAAACCTCTCACTCATAATCTACAAGAACTTACAAAGACCTATCAGCAGTATGATCCTTTATCATGCCGTAGCAACATGCCACAAAAATTATTGTTTTAATTTTGTGATCAATAAGTCGATATTATAAAGTCTTCGCTGACATGATCATAGAGACTTATTGGCAATGAGATCAAAGCGTAAGTCACAGCTAAAAACATAGATATGAATTGTCCGATTACTGATACTGTATAAGACACGTCAGTACAATACATGCATGTATTTGTACGAAAAGACGTGTCGCAAGTGGCAAAACTTGACAATATCAGTTAGTCTTGTAAAACTTAATCATGACAAAAGTATGAAATCTAGTTTTGTCTTCTAGTCATTTCATTAAATGATTAAAAGGAAATGAAGATGTTACACACATCTTGGAGGTAGCTCCTCCTAGCACACTACCAGTAAGAGGTACTCAGGAAGATTTTAGTTTCCCTTGTGTTATAGTTTATATAGCACCATCCTCAGTGGTGTCAAAATGTGATGATATCGTCATTATCTGTGCCAGGGATATAATGATGACATAACTATACATGGCTTAGTATGACATCATTGGTTTATGTGTATAGTGTTGTGATGATATCATCATTATCTGTGCCAGGGATATCATGATGACATAACTCTACGTGGCTTAGTATGACATCATTGGTTTATGTGTAGTGTTGTTATTATGTCAGTTTCAAATTTTTTATCACCTAATCATCATTTGAAGAGGAAACTTAAGTGAGGTTAACATAATTGAGCCTTCTTCCCTGATTGTTTTCTGAGGTGTTTTACCATTAAAATGACCATTTTTTTTAAAATATACATATAAATTGTATTATCATAGCACAGGTTTTGAGTTTTATTATCCAATAAAAGCTGCTAAGATATCTGTTGTAGGATCGCAGTGAACCAACATTCATTCCATAGCATGAATTATGTACTTTGACATGAAAATAAATCTGTTTTAAATAATTGCGTTGTCAAAACATAAAGATTATAAACATTTAGCATACAATTTTAGTTACATTTTTTCATGATCACAAGTTCCTTTATTAAGGTTATAATAATGTACACCTGTGTGACTCTCTGAGGTACCTGTAATTTTGAAATAGCCATGGATCATGTGCACACTTGGACAGAACAATAACACTAGATTTGACCTCAATCTGAAATCTCTGTGGCATGTTTATGGAAACAACAGAAAACTTAAACCGATCAACTTCTGGAGTGAATAAAGCATTTAAACCTCTGTGGATTTCTGTTGTGTGAGCCAAAGCTAGGCTCCAGATTTCTTACATGTGGTGCAAATAAACACTAATGTACAAAGGCATGCACATTTACGAGTATACAATTACAACATATAATACAATACATATACAATTCCCAGTGATTTATTGAAAATGAGGGGGTTTTTTATGTCGGAATAGAAGAGGATGTGAAAAACTTTGTCTACCTTACTGAAGAGAGGTATCAAATATGGGGGTATACATTTCAACAGCCTATCATATTTAAACTTCTTTTAAAGAAAAAAGTAATAGAATTTAATTTTTTGCCCTGTGTTGAGTGGTATGTACCTCACTAAATAGAATCATTTTAAATTCAATGAATTCTAAACTCATGATCACAGCTAAGTTTTGTTAATGATTTAAGGCTCATATCCTCAAAATATGTATTGGTATTTGACATGTGAAATATTTCCTAGTGCATACGGTATGGTATATTTGGTTAAACTTCTCCTGTTTATAGAGAGTAATTACAATTATCTTACACTTTCTATGAAATAATTTAGGAATGTTTCTTGTTCAGCATAATCTTTTGAAACAAGAAATGATAAGAATTTTTTTATTTGTCATCTCCAATGTTGAAGTGTCAATCAGTGCCACAAACATACTTTTGAAGTGGTAGTTAGTACCACAAATATAATATTGGTGTGTCAATTTATGTAACAAACACATGCCATTGAAGTGTCACCTAGTGCCTCATAGCTGTTAGTATGTGCCACAAACATACTGTTGAAGTGTCAGTTATATATATATAGTGCTACACACACATACTGTTGAGATGTCAATTATATATAGTGCTACACACACATACTGTTGGTATGTCAATTATATATATATATATAGTGCTACACACACATACTGTTGGTATGTCAATTATATATATATATATATAAATATAGTGCTACACACATACTGTTGGTATGTCTATTATATATATATAGTGCTATATATATATATATATATATATATAGTGCTACACACACATACTGTTGGTATGTCAATTATATATATATATATATAAATATAGTGCTACACACATACTGTTGGTATGTCTATTATATATATATAGTGCTACTCACACATACTTTTGGTATGTCTATTATATATATATAGTGCTACACACACATACTTTTGGTATGTCTATTATATATATAGTGCTACACACACATACTTTTGGTATGTCTATTATATATATATAGTGCTACACACACATACTGTTGAGATGTCTATTATATATATAGTGCTAATAACACAAATTGTTGAAATATCAATTAGTGCCGCAAACACATGCTGTTGAAATGTCACTTAATGCTTCAAACAAACTGTTAAATAAATAAAGCAATATTTATTTATTTTACAACAATTGTGAAGCAAGTTTTTCCAACTTATATTAATCACTCTTGTTAGCTTGGATGAAAGTGCCCGCGTGGTCTTAGTGTGGGAGGAAACCCGAGTTCCCGGGGAAAACCCACGTGGTCAGGCTGGTGACCCCATACCTTTTCACATCCATTCCGGGAATCGAACCTCGGACGGCTAGGTGAAAGGTGAGAGCATTACCACTGCACCACCCGACCACCCTGACTCAAACAAACTGTTGAGGTGTCAATTAATGCATCAAGTATGGTGTTGAATTTTTTTAGTGCCATAAACAGACACTACTGTATCAGAAGTATTTCACTGCCAAAAATACCATTGATGAAGACATGTATAACTACCCTACAAATATGTTTGAAGCAGTGTTACGGTTACTTCCACAAACAGCAGATGTGTAGAGTCTTCTGGTCATGTATGTAATTTAATAATCCCTCTAGCTATTAACAGTGCAGCTATTAACAGAAAGAGTTGTAAACAAATTTTTGCATACTGAAGACATGGCATTTATAAATGTCAGTTTTGTAGACTCAACAAAGAGGTATTCTACATTATTTGAGTTTTTGCAGGTTAAGTGTATGTGCTCATGCATGGTCAAATAGGATAATTGTGAATATGCACTTTGGATTGATACTTAAGTGAGTTGTACAAGTTTTGAACGATTATGGAGGCATTGATAGAAACGGTCATTAAACAACAACGTTGTGACATAGATCAATTTAGAAAATTTGATAGATTCCTGTTTGGATCAGAATTTCCATACAAAGATTTATAAATAGAAGAATATATTTATGTCTTAAATGTCTCCATATTCTGAGTAGATGATATGTCTTAAATGTCTCTGTTCTGAGTAGGTATGTCTTAAATGTCTCCATATTCTGAGTAGATGATATGTCTTAAATGTCTCTGTTCTGAGTAGATATGTCTTAAATGTCTCCATATTCTGAGTAGATGATATGTCTTAAATGTCTCCGTTCTGAGTAGATATGTCTTAAATGTCTCCATATTCTGAGTAGATGATTTGTCTTAAATGTCTCTGTTCTGAGTAGATATGTCTTAAATGTCTCCATATTCTGAGTAGATATGTCTTATATGTCTCCATATTCTGAGTAGATGATATGT